AAATTGATTTATGGCCCAGAATATGGTCTGTCTTGGCGAATAGTCCATGTAAGCTTGAGGAGAATGTGTATTATGCTGTTGTTGGATGAAGTAGTATATAGCTGTCCATTACATTTAGTTGATTGATGGTGCTTTTGAGTTCAACTGTGTCCTAATTTTCTGCCTACTAGATCTTTCCATTGCTAACAGAGGGATGTTGAAGTCTCCAGCTGTACAGTGGACTCATCCGTTTCTCCTCGCAGTATTATCAGTTTCTGCTTCACATATTTTGACGTTCTGTTGTTAGACACATACATATTAAGGATTGTTATGTCTTTTTGGAGAATTGACCCCTTTTAACCCTTTATCATTATGTAATGCCCTTCTTGATCCCTGATAAGTTTGTTTGCTCTGAAGTCTGCTCTGTCTGCAAGTAATATAGCTACTCCTGCTCTCTTTTGGTTAATGTTAGCCTGGTTTATCCTTCTCCATCCTTTTACTTTAAAGCTGTATGTGTCCATATTTAAAGTGGGTTTCTTATAGACAGCGTAAGTTGAGACGTTTTGATCCACTCTAACAAGCCCTGTCCCAGCATTCTGTAGTTTGATGATTAGGCCTCAGTCCTTTAAAGGGCTGTGTGCCTGGGCTGTGAGCTTCACTAGTGCCTCTGAGCCCCACACTCTCCCCTCTGGGTGGCACGAGATGGCTAGAGTGGGCCGGAGTTGGGTGTTTCCCCTTCCCGGGTGAGTTAGGGTCTGATAAAACCCTGGCAGCTATGCTCCGGTTAACTAGTTTCTCCTGAAGGCAGACCTTATTAAAAGCAGAATGCTTTGGTGTATTTAAAAATGATCACTTTTCCCCTCCCCCTGCCAGAAGCTCTGGGATTTTTCTTTTCTGATGTTCACTGTGGGAACCTGACTGAGATCCTGGTGGTAAAACTCACGAAAGTGTAGGGGTCCTTCTCTGACTTGGTCCCCCTGAGGTTTTTAATCTCATGCTTGTCCACAGTGAGCCTCCAGCAATTTGTTAATTATAGTTTTTAAGTTTTCTACCCTGTCACTGGTTCCCAAAAGAGGTTTCTGCTCTGGTAAATTGTGATTTTCTGTTGTCACCTGTCTGTCTCTCCAATTTGGGAGGCACGGTTTGCTCTATGACCTCATTTCTCTGACAGATCCAAGAAAAGTTGTTGGTTTTTCAGTTTTGTTGAGCTTTTTAGTTGTTGTTACAATGGAGCGGTGACTTTCAAGCTTCTTACATGCCCGCTAGAAACCGGAGGTCTTACATTTTTACAGGGTTTATCTGCCTTCTATGTTGAGAATAGTCTGTGGAGATGAGAGGGAAGGCAGAAGAAGAGTGTTTTGCAAAAATCTGGATGAGAAATGTGCTCTCTTGGACTAGGGAATGGTAGTTGGAGAGATAAGTATTTGTATTGTGGATGTTTGAGTGGCATAGAGCCAACGAGATTTGCTGACAGATTAAATGCTAGAGTGAGGAAATGAGGTGTCAGGTAACCCCATGGTATCTGACTTGAGCAAGTTGGAAGGATAGAGTTACCATTAGTTGAGATGAGTAAGACTGAAGCAGAAGCAGGTTTCAGGGAGCTTGGTTTTGGACGTGTTGATTTCGAGATGATTGTTAGATTTCCAAGGAGATATGTTGACTAGGCAGGGTATGCTTGTCTAGGGTTCAGGAAGAGATGCAGGCTAGAGAGAGCTTTTTGGGAGTCTTCAACATTTAGCTGGTATTCAGAGTCATGAGGTACCCAAAGGAGTAAGTATACATTGAAAAAGAGAAGAGAGGCAAGGTTACTCCCAAATTAAGAGGCCAGGGCATTGAGGCAGACTAGCAAAGGAGCCTGAGAGGGAGCAGCAGTGACATAAGAGCAAAACCAAGGGAATGTGGTATCTTGTAAATGTCTCCAGAAGGAGGGAGTGATCAGCTGCTTTGGTAGGCCAAGTAGAAAGAGAGCTGAGAACTGACCGTTGGATTTAGCAAAGAGAGGTAATTGCTGACTTTAACCAGCCATTTTGATGGAGTGGTAAGGGTGAAAGCCTGATTAGCAGTGGGTTCCAGGGAGGCCAAAGGAGAGGAATTGGAGACCATGGGTATATGCACCTCTGGGGGAGCTTTGTGGTAAAGGGAAAGATAGAAATGAAGGTAGTGGATGGAAGGAGACCTGAATTCAACAGTGTTTTGTTTTCTTTAATGGGAGAAGTAACAGTACATTTGTGTGCTGAAAGGAAAAAATAGAGTTAAACAAGCAAACAAACTTTGTGCTACTGGTTCTATTTTTCGTTTCTTTTTTTGAGACAGGGTCTCTGTCTCAAAGGCTGCATTGCCGTGGCATGATCATAGCTCACTGCAGCCTTCAACTCTTCAACTCTTGGGCTCAAGAGAACCTCCCACTTCAGCCTGCTGAGTAGCTAGGACTACAGGGACACACTACCACACCCAGCTAATTTTTTTAAAAAATTTTTTATAGGCATGAGGACTTGCTATCTTGGTAGGCTGGTTTCCAAATCCTGGCCTCAAAGGATTCTCCTGCCTCAGCCTCCCGAGTAGCTGGGACTACAGGTGTGTGCCACCACACCCAGCTAATTTTTCTATTTTTTGTAGAGACAGAGTCTCACTTGTGCTCAGGCTGGTTTCAAACTCATAGCTTCAAGTGATCCTCCCACTTTGGCCTCCAGAGTGCCGGGATTACAGATGTGAGCCTGTGCACCCAGTCTACATTTAGATTTTCAATCTAGTTAGAGTTTGTTTTATGGACGGCATTAGGTATGGATCTAATTTTATCTTTTCCCAAATGACTTTTCCAAATGACCCAGTTGTCTAAACATCATTTACTTTAAAAATCCTATATTGGCTTAGTAATTTGGGATCCCACCCCTATCATCTGTACTTGTGTTTATTTCTGGGCTTTCTGTGTGTCAGTCGGTACCACACTTTTGATTATGGGGACTTGATAATATGTTTTCAAGCCTGGTAGGGCCAGTAGTCATCGATTTTCTTTTTTGGTGTTGTTTTTTTTTTTTTTAATAGCTATTTTTACGTGTTTGTTTTTCCATTTAACTTCAGTGATCACCATGTCTCTTTTTAAAAAGTTGGTATTTTTAGTGTGATTGTTTTAAATTTATAAATTAACTTAGGCAGAACTGATATCCTTATAATGTTGAGTCATTCTATCCAAGAATGCATGTTTACTTTTTTAAGTCTACTTTTATGTAGAGGTATTTAAAATTTTTCTTTGTAGAGATTTACACATTTCTTAAGTTTATTTGTAAGTATTAAATCTTCTTTATTGCTATTGTAAAAGAGGTTTTCTCTACCATGGTGCCCTTTAATGTTTTATTGTTTGTTTATTTGGAGGCTGTTGATATTTTTGTGTTAATTCTATATCATTCTATTATATTGAATTTTTTTCTTTTTGTTGTGGAGATGGGGTCTTACTCTTCCTCTGTCATCTAGACTGGAGTGCAGTGCTGTGATCATAGCTCACTGCAACCTTGAACTCCTGGGCTCAAGTGATCCTCCTGCCTCAGCTACCTGAGTATCTGGGACTCAGGTACATGCCACTATACGCAGCTGATTTTTTAATTTTTTTGTAGAGACAGGGTGTCATTGTGTTGCCCAGGCTGGTATTGAATTCCTGGCCTCAAGTTGTCTTCCCACCTCAGCCTCTCAAAGTACTAGAATTACAGG